ATTTTATAATAGATGAAAATATTCAAAAAATATGTTTGTAACATCCTGATATAGCTTTAATTATCATTATTATTATCATTAATATACAACATGCCATGGCACAGATAAACGAGTGTCAATAGGGGAAAAATGAAGAAAACAAGGGAAGCAGGGTAAGAAAATCCAAAGAAAGGGCATAAAACATCACAATCATCAAACATCTAATATCAAAATATTTTTTTTTACAGCTGATGACAGTGAATAACTTACCTTGTGGCGGATGGACAGGCTCAGGGAGCTTGATGGGGGGCAGTTTGTGCTTATCCTCACTGGTAAGAGAGCCGGTCTCGATGGTTGTGTCCCGCTCTGGGATTTGATCAGTGAAGACAGTTGGTGGATCAGCTGCAGGGACACGACTGTTGTGGCCCGTCCACTGGTTCCTCTGGCTCCTGATACGATCCAGGAGTTTCTTCAACGCCCGTTTAGGAGCAGGTCTGGAGGGTTCCACTGCAAATAAAGAAAAATACTGAGTGCAGTTCTAGATTGGTAAAGATGAGTTTCAAATAAATTTCATCAAGATTATAACATCAGGCAGTCAGATTGGATTTAAGGCTGGTAACTCTGAGATGAATTTTAGAAGAAAATATATAATTGACATATATAGCAAACCAAGATCTGTGTAGTGCTTTTGTGTAAATGCCAAAGAGTAACTGGCATTTTTTTTTTTTTTACAACTCTTGTAATAACCCTTAAAAAAGGTCATAAATTTAGGATTTATGTATATCTGGAGCTTCTCTTCACCTTGAGCAAAGGTTTCCTGCTCAGTGCTTGCAGCTTCTTGCTCTGTGTCATGTTGTGTGTTTTCGGTTCCTGGTGTGGTGATTTCATCCTGTGTGATGTCGAGCTCTTGGTCCTGGCTACCTGTGGAAAGAGCTGGCAGAGGCTCGGGTACCAGCTGGACCACCAGGTCACCTTTAACCCCTGGGATCAGACAAAGTCAGGGTTTAAAGAGGCTCGATTTAAGTTATACATTTTACTTTGTGACAAAACAAATAAATCTCAATACAAAGAAGATATGAAAAACTGCACTGACAGAGCGCCACCCTCTAGCTCCTTCAAAATTATTTGTTTGGTTTTAAACAAAGCTACACAGACTTGTTTTGTGGCTATTTGTTACAAAACATATTCATAACAAGATACTACACACAACAGTCCTTACTCCTCTCTCCAGTATACATGTCCTCAAAGGCAAACTCCATCTCCCTCTGGAAGTCCTCCCTTGTCTCCTGTCTCTTATAGAGAGGCTGGAAGATCTGAGCAGGCATCTGTGACACCAGCTGTCTCCTCCTCAGCAGGTCTGTCTGCTGCATGTGCTCCAGTTCAACAAGCAAGCGCTCACGATCCTAAAGGAGACCATCAAACAGATCAGGCACAAAGAGCTGCACTCAACACCGCATCTAAACGTTTCTTGTCTTTTGTTAGAGGTACAAGACTATTAAACATCTTTATGGGAAGTCTTTTTATCTTACTATATGAAAAGCTATGCTAGGATTTTGGACAACTGACATTTTGTTTCTGTATGACAGATGTGTCAATCATAAAGACAGAAAATGCATGTAACCTGAGTTATACAAACCACTACAATGTTTTTATCACATAAATCATTGGTCTTCTGTCTTTGGTGCAGAGTGTTGTACTGCCGTCACTAAACAGTGTTTGCTACAGTGATGGCAAATAGCATCAAAGCAAATCATCTGTCTGACACATGTGAACAATTTTGGTGTCAATAATATTTAAGTTGTACCTGCACAAGCTGTTCCTTCCTCAGTGCCTGCTTCCCTCTGAGACGAGCCTTCTCAAGCTGCTCCTCTCTCCTCCTCTTTTCCTCCCTCTGTAATTCCTGCAGTCTCCTCACCTCCAGCTCAGCTTCCTCATGGGCATTTAGCTGCAGACACACAGATTAGACACCTATGATTGGGGGGGTGACTAAAAAAAAAAAAAAAAAGGGGGGTTCAGTGCATATAATAATCAGAGGGCTTACCTGCTCTGTGTCTACCTCTCTGTCCACTGTGGTCTCAGACATGTGGTAATGCGTGGCAGCAAAGGCACTCACATCAGATTTCCTTACTACATGTGGCTTCCTGGAATCAATGTTCTGCTTGAACAGGAAAAGACAGTGTTACCTCGACTCCATGTAGCACCTAAAGTGTGCAACTCTGAAAGTTTACATTTATTTTATAAACAGGATACAATCTGGCCAACTGAACTAAAGCACAGTCCTATTTGTTGTGAAATCTCCATTATGTTCTTGTAAAAAAAATCAGATCATTATAGCACCTCTGAGGATGATGGATATTTGCATGTACAACAACAAATGATAACATATCATACCTTTTGTTGGATTTACACATGGTGTTAACTGAAACAGCCAGAGCAAAGGTTTTAAACATAATGCTTCACTAATTCATCACATTAGTTAGTACATCTGTTTTAATCCAGTCCCACTCAGAGGCCTAAAGTAAAACAGTCAAAACCCCACTGAGTTACACAACTGCCTCAGGAGATAATCCCTCCTAACACGCATGATATTCATCACAATACATCATACATACATCACAAATGTACAGCGACATTTCAGCATTCAGCAGCTCACTATCTGAGTATGGGATAACCACAATACAACAAAATACAGACCAGAAAAGTAAAGTTGTTTTTTGTTTCGCTTATATGCCTGACTTTCTTTCTTTTGCACTTTTTTAATAAAATGTGAGCTAGCAAAACCACGTGGCTTGTCAGACTAACTTAGAAGAGGAAAACAGTGTCATTAATATGATTAATATTACTGTCTGGGCGAATCACCTGAATGGGGTTAGGGGGAGGAGGTGGGAGGCTGGCCACTTTTGCTGATCTTTCCTTTTCTGCCTGTAGAGCCTTCTTCCTGGCATTGATGAATCTACAGAAAAACAAAGGAACGGACTTAGTGCTTAGTTCTTTCTGATGACATTCAACAAGTAAACACCCATCAAGAAAATATTTGCAATGCTGCTTACTGGCTTTGCCTCTCATGGTCTTTAAGCCTCTGTGATTTCAGCTCCTTCAGAGCTTCTCGATAACGCTCCTCTGCTTTGGTGTGATTTTCCTCCTCCCTCTGAGCTATGGCTGCCAAGTCAGGTTCCTTGTTATAATAAATCAAAAGTGGCACACACAAATTCAATGATTTGGACAGTGTATTAATCTAATAGTGAGGTTATTATCATGTCATGGTTTTATACACATTTCAGGTTTCAGGTTTCAGATGTTCTCCAAAACATGTAATTTGTACAGAGACTCAAACTCAGCATTGACTTAAATTTCCCGAAAGACAATGACATCTTCATTAGCAGGTGTTTTCTCTTCAATCAGCAACAGAAACTCTGGAAACTCTGATCAGGAGAAGGTATAGCTGCCATGTTTCCTGTTTTGGATCAGCCTTATCTTACGTTTTCTTTTGCACTCCTGTGTCCCTGGCCAAGAAGCTGGAGGCTCTCATGGTATAACCTCTGCAGTGTGTCGAGTTTCTCCCTCTGCTGTCGCTCCCAGTCCTGCCTCAGCTCCTCTGCCAGCTGCTCCAGCTCACGCTGCCGCCTCTGCTCAACCGCCTGGCGGATCTGCAGTGCAATGTACCGCTGCTGCTCCCGCACCTGGGTGTCAATACAAAATATATTCATACCTACTTAGACTGAAAATAACAACAGAGTTTGAAGACTTTCCAGAGGACTGTTTCTCATAAATGTCTTTCATAATATTTTGAAGTGCTTGTCTTGAGTGAGCCTAACAAACTGAACCAGGACAAAGCTGTTACAACACCCAATATGAGCTGATGTGACTCAGACTCAGTGAAGCCAGTTCGTCCATGACTGAAAAAGAGAGCCCGAGACACCAGGCTGGTTTCAGTTTCTTAACTGAGGGAATTTACTAATTTTCTTCATCATATATGACAGTTCATTGAATATCTTTGGGTTTTGAACATATTACATTGAAGATATCACAGTGGTCCCTACGAGATTGGGAATTGCTTTTCCATTGGTTTTAATACTTTACATTAAATCGATTAGTCAAGGAAATAATCATTAGTAGCAACCCTATGTGGTTTATCTGGCAATCTTTCACCTCTCATGCATTAATAACTACGGTGTCCGTTAATCAGAAATGAAGCATAAAACCGAGACACCTCTGAAAAGAACTTATTTACACCTGGCATAAGTTACCTGCTGTATTCGCAGTTTTCTCCTTCTGTCATGCTCCTCTCTTATTATCCGAGCCTCTTCGTTAGGGCTCAGTCTTAATTTGGCCACTTTTCTCTTCATTTTCTTTAAAAATGATGGCGGATGTTTCCCAAAAGTAAACAGCAGGTTGCACCTCCGTTAGCCGCTTGCCCCACCACCATACCGACATTTCAAAGAAACATTTCAGACGTAAAACAAGTGCGAATTAATCACAGAAATGCTTAATAAATAGAAAGAGAATGAATAAACCTCAGAAGTTTTTTTTATCTACCACCTGGACTCCAACCGAAACAACTGAACGTTTTTGTTCTTGATGTCACATCCGGCGGTTTAAACTGCCCGCCTTACCCGTCCCGTGCAGAACAAAACCCGTCGTAGTTCCTACCCATAGACAAAACAGGTTCCTGCTTTGAAAAAAATACATGCCTAAGATACATTAAACTAAAAAACGATGACTTTATCAAGAAAATTAAAGCAACGTAAAGAAAAGTTACGTGAGGCCCCTGGAACTGTAAACGGGGTCTCGGGGGCAGGCCCACCCTGTATCCGTTGGTGTGAGTTGCTACACTGGTTTGGAAGAGCAGATTGATTAAACAAACCTGATTTCTGAATTTTGGAATACTGTACTTGGTGATAAAATATATTAGGTCGAGTAGGAGCGGTGATGCGAGAGTACTGATTTCCTGTATTGGTCCGGAACATAAGGTCCGGAACGATATTCCCGCACTGTTCAGCAGGGGACAGTAGAGTGCGCGTATTCCTGTGTAGTGAGCGAAGAATGAACCGTATTCAGCCACAACTCCAGTGAATAACCTATTTTACTCGGGACTCCAGTGAAGTGGTAAGAACTGCAGGGATAAAAAATTATGGTGTCATTTTTACATTTCTTTCCAGCTCCGATGGTCTTTGTTTATCCTGTAAAATTAGCAAGGGGCTAACGCTAGCTGGTCTGGCTAGCTAGATAAAGCCATACTCAATCAAAGGCAGCTAGTGCAGTCATTTTTGTTATTAAAATCAGTTATTTAGGAATTCTTATGTCTTACCTTAAATCTTGAGTGTTAAAGACAACCCCCTTTATTTAACTGATAAACCAGCAGGTCACAAAGAATCGTAAATTATCATAAAACAAAGTAGTGTATGAGCAGGTCTTGAAAAGTCATTTAAAGCAATTCATTTCCAAAAAAAAAAAAAGGGTTTCACCAAAGGAATTAACAAATAGCCAGTCGTAGCATATATATATAAAATTCAGTACTATTGTTCCAGACCTCTGATATTATGAACATTTTATTTGTAAAATTCATATGTGGATCTTAACTGAGTAGTTTACTTTTTAAATCCCGACGATTTATTGTTGTTTCAGCTGGCTTTCATGGAAACATTTAATACTTTAGTCGATATGACTGTGAAACTGGTATTTTATGTGGTATTAAAACTTTCTTAAAAAGTCTTAAGTTTAATTTGGTGAACCCTGCAGAAACATTGTAAAGTAAATGACTGAACAGGACATCTTAAGTTTGTGCATTTTCTTTTTCAGCTTAAACATTTTCTGGAGTGAATTTCTGTTTGGTCTACTCTTATTCAAACTAGCTTTAAAAAGTGTCAAATTCTTGAGGTTAGGTTGGAGAGATCTACTTAGTTGAACTACTTTGCGCCCCACTGTGCCTCAACCAGTCTGATGGTTGAATCCCTCTGCTTGTCTTCCGCAGCCTTGTCATCATGTCTGGTGGTCCAGCAGTGAGGGTCAGCATCGAGTCTTCCTGTGAGAAGCAGGTGCAAGAAGTGGCCCTAGATGGGACAGAGACATATGTCCCCCCACTGTCCATGTCACAGAACTTGGCAAAGTTGGCACAAAGAATTGACTTCAGCCAGGGATCTGACTCAGAGGAGGACGGGGTGGAAGGTGAACCCAGGGACCGTGAATGGGGCAAGCAGGAGCCAGAAGAAGAAGAAGGTTACGTATGGTCAAGAGAAAGCAGGAAAGATTTAGTCAGAGCTAGATTCTGATTCTGTTGAACTGACTGACCAGCTATGACTGATCCATCACTGATATGTAAGGCTCTCAGGCTGCTGCTCAGCAAAGTGCAGATGAGATATGTAACAATTATTACAGAGCAGAGGTCTCTTTGTCAAGGTGCTCACAGAACAGTACATTTCAGGACTTATTGAAATGTTTAGAAATGTCTTTTTTGATGGGGCAAATCAGCAAATTTGGTTGATTGCAGAGTGAACACCAAACATTATTGAAGAATTCTTTTATTTCCATTTATATAAAAGTAGATTATATTTTAAAACTTGAATCGCATTAGAACTTGTGGTACTTCAGTTTTTACTTCCTACAGTATACGCTTAAACCAAACTATAATGGTCCTGCCCTTTCCTAATGCAAAATACAAGTGGCAAAACCTTTCCCCAATAAACTCCCTGATATTTTCAAGCCTAGTTGGTAAATTGGTAATCTAATTAATTCTTTAAAGAAGTATGAATGCAATGCCAATGTTAACTCTTGTTTTGCATCTATTTCTGTCACTTCTTTTCTTCTGCTGAAGTCAGCATGCTAACCAGCTAGCCACTGTAACATACAATCTGCCCATATTGTACCTCTTGTCTTGTAAATGCAATGACGACAAAAGCTTTTGGCAAGACTGGTAAGTAAACAGCTGTTAATTCTAACAATGGGTTTGTAAGCAAAAGCAAAACGTACAAATAGCTCCTTTAAAACGGTGGCAACCAAAATGTTAAGGACTTTCTCATCACGATCATGTTTGAACCTGTTATGATGAATTATAAACATATTAAAAACATAGAGATAAAGAGAATTTTGTTTACATTTGTTACTGACACCCTCTCCCTCAATACCTTCCTTTTAGCAGTAGTGCCCATGGTCCTGCACAGGATAAGCAGGTGTAGCTGACGGATGGATTTATTGAAAACAAAATATTCTGTTAATGATTAGCGTCATGTGGATTCTATTTTCTCTGTTAAAATAAAATCTGACCGGCGGTTTCTTTACACAGGCACAGTGAAGTTTCAGCCATCACTTTGGCCCTGGGACTCGGTGCGTAACAACCTGCGCAGTGCCCTCACAGAGATGTGTGTACTCTATGATGTGCTCAGCGTGGTGAAGGAGAAGAAGTACATGGCCTTAGACCCAGTGTCTCAGGATCCAACAGCTGGCAAGGTAAAATGCCTAAGAACATCACTATCAACATCTACAGGATGGGCAACATTGAAAACATCTTACAGATAATTCAGAAGCATGAGTGTAGCACTGATCAAATGTTCGAATGTGGTAACGGTCTTTGGTTTACATTTCTCAAAGTGATCTGTGCCTCTTCTCTGTCAGTTTGACACACATATCCACCACTGTCCATCCATAGCAGTATTTTCTTGCCCTTATGCAGACGCCCCAGGTGTTCCAGCTGATCAGTAAAAAGAAGTCATTGGCCACAGCAGCGCAGCTCCTCCTGAAGGGAGCAGAGAAGCTCACTAAGTCAGTAGCAGAGAACCAGGAGAACAGGAGGCAGAGGGACTTCAACTCTGAACTGCTGCGACTCCGCTCACAGTGGAAACTACGTAAAGTGGGAGACAAGATCCTGGGAGACCTCAGCTACCGCAGCGCAGGTGATAAGGCCTCTAATGTATATTCAGACCACTCTGTAAAATGCTTTTTATTTTTTAAAAACATAGTTGTCCTTTTGTGTTCTACAAAGTAACACAAGGACACTTTTAACTTGTAGTTTAACCCCAAGCTAATGTGTTTTTCCTACTTACAATGCAGGTTCCCTTTTTCCTCATCACGGCACGTTTGAGGTGATTAAGAACACAGACATTGATCTGGACAAAAAACTCCCAGAGGACTACTGCCCCCTCGATGTCCAGATCCCCAGTGATTTAGAGGGATCTGCTTATATCAAGGTGAGAAGAAAACAAAAGATGGATCAACGTGTCTCTCCATGATGGCATGTTCCATTAAAATTCAGTCTTGAGACAGTGGGGAATTTTAGAGATATGTGTTGTGTGTAAATGATTTCTAATTTTATGTATTTTTTTATTTTTATCTGTATTTTTTTATTTCCATACTGGTGTCACCTGCAATCACGTGTGTTTTTGAAGAAAACACGTTGTTTTAATAGTCCAGTACTGTTTTTGTCTTCAGGTGTCCATCCAGAAGCAAGCTCCAGACATCGGTGATCTGGGAACTGTCAACCTGTTCAGGAGACCACCAAAAACCAAAGCTGGTATGGTTCAATACACGAAGATATGACATTCTACATCCATCTTTTCTGACAGATGTTAAACTTCAGTAACTGCCTGAATCTCTGCCTGTAGAATTAGTAAATGTATCACAGCGTTGGAATTTCCCCATTCTACCTTCGTCCATGTTTCACATTTTCTATCATCTTTAATCTCTTCTCATTGCTGTCCCCTGATCTCTCTTTTCCTCTGTGACCAGGTACGCAGGCGTGGCATGTGAAGCTAGAGGCGGCTCAGAACGTTTTGCTGTGTAAGGAGATCTTCGCCCAGCTGTCCAGGGAAGCTGTCCAGATTAAATCCCAGATCCCTCACATTGTTGTGAAGAATCAGATCATCTCGCAGCCCTTCCCAGGTCAGAACCACTCTGACAACATCCAAGATGGAAAACTTCAGCATAGATGGTGTCTTTGTTTTTGTTGGACAGAATGAGAAGACCTGCATTTGTTGCATATTTAACATCAAATTGCACAGACTGTGTGCCAGTTTGTGGGTTTTTATACTCCTATACTGTACTATACTTTTCCAAAACACTAAAGAAAGGGCTAAAAAGAGCTGTTTCAACAACTATATGTCACCCAAACTTCAATAGCTCCCTGACACACATATTTTGCCTTATATTTACATTTTAATTAATTTAATTTGTTTGTAAATCATCAATCAGCAGGCCTCTGGAGTCGGCTTTGAGTTCTGTTGTCTGTATGGAGGCATAAAACTAACACCCTCGTGCATTGTTTGTTCCTGTGGTTCCCTTTTAAGGTCTGCAGCTGTCCATCTCACTCTGCCACTCTACTGGAGAGAAGAAGAACCATAGGGCGTCTCCAGAGAAACCCAAACCAGACGACCACCTTTACGTACTGGAACATAATCTGCATCAAATGATGAGAGAGGTGAGAAGCTGTGTGATGTCACTAACTGCAGCAGCTGCAGTATCGGCAGGGACAGGATTGTGTTGAGGTTCAGATCTGAGGAAGGCTGCAAAAAAAAAAAAAATTCTGCTGCATGTTGAATGTTCCCAGGAGCATCGTGACCTCCATAATTCTTAAATGGAAGAACTGAGGAGCTAGCAGGACTTCCTAAAAGTCCCTTTGGTCAGGATATACTGTCTGGAAATGCCGTTTAACTAAGTTTACTGAGCTCAGCTGAAACTTTTACAACCAGTTTGTGTCTTTTTCACAAGATAAAATTACAATCACGGGGGAAAGACGAGAGGAAAAATAATTACCAAACTAGAATCAGAATCTATTTAAATGTCACAATTATGGCTATGTGGTATCTTCCTATAATGATTCCATAAATAATATAACTGAGAGTCTAATGGAAAACAGTTTTACTTTAGTTCAGTCTTTATTGTCCCTCATGGAAAATTTGGCTTATCTGTTAGTTCCTGCTGCTCCATCTGTAGACATCCTGCAACCCATCTGAACCAGGATAAATACTACACCCAAACATATATAGAGAGAACTACCATCAGATCACATCTTCCACTTCATTCCTTATGGTTTAATTTTATCAATGCTCATTGTGTTCCTGTTGTAGTTCCACAAGCAGCAGCTGAGCTCTGTGGTGATGCCACATCCTGCCAGCGCCCCATTTGGCCACAAGCGCCTGCGCCTAGCGGGACCGCTGGCCTACGACAAAACTGAAATCTCCAGCTTGCAGCAGAGTGAAGGACTGCTGGAGAAGATCATCAAACAGGCCAAACACATCTTCCTACGCAGCAGGTAACTTTAGTTTTACCATCTAGTTTTTTAAATGCTTTTATTGTGCAAACAGAAATGTAGAGTGTTGTTGTCACGCTCAGACAGGTTGTGAATTTTTTCCCAATCCCGGTGAAGCCTCCCTACCCACCAGACCTTGCACTAAAGCTAAAGGACAATAACGTGCTGGAGATGTGGAAGGGAGGTCGGGAGTCTTGTTATATTCCTGTGAAAAGGCAGAGGCTATGTGTATTTTAAGATTTTAACTGTTAAGACTACAACAAACAATTGTCATTGGCAGTCATGGTATCATGTCACAACATTTTAAGCTGCAGTAGTGTTAGTAGCAAATAAACTTTCAACTTTGCACGTATGCTTTACCACCGGAAGTACTGTATGCAAATCCAGGCAGGTGACAGGTTTATTACCAGTCATGGTTTGCAATGGAAATAACTGGAGGTGTTGCAAATGGGATGTTTGCCACATTTGGCCAACAGGTGGCTTACTTTGTCTTTGTCTCATCATAGTTTGATATCAGAGAAATGCATTTAAGAACACACAAAGAGAGTATCTGCAGGTCTTGAGAAATCTTTTACAAAGGTCGTAGATATTTTTTCTAGCCTGACATAGGCAGGAGTGTTAGTTATTACATGTGTTTGTTTGTGATTTTAGCAAAAACTGGCTGAAAAATCCATCCAGACTTCCAGGTCTTAAATTAATAAGCTATGGGTTAATCATCCATCCATTCATCCATCCTTTTTCTGCTGCTTACCCAGGTCATGATAAAAGATATTTATAGGAATTATGCTGCTGGCAAGAACTGACAAAAGTGCACTTGTTAAATGATTCTATGCCTTATCATCCATACTGGTTTTCAATGATATCTTTCATGCTTATTAAAATGTCTTCAAATTTCTTAAATTTAACTTGGTTAGACCTGTAGAAACCCTGAAAACTCATTAGAAACATTCCAAGTGTTTTTTGTTAAGGCAGTGTGAGCTTCATAACGTTTAATGAAGCCCTGTACTCTGTATCCTTCACTTACTTCACTTCAGCAGTATTAATGTTTACATCTGTGCTCACCAGGACAGCACGGACCATCGACAGCCTGGCCAGCCGGATCGAAGACCCCCAGATCCAGGCTCACTGGTCGAATATCAACGATGTGTATGAGTCCAGCGTCAAGGTGCTCATCACCTCTCAGGGCTACGAGCAGATCTGCAAGTAAGTGGAGGAGACGAAGGAGGCAGGAGACAAGGGAGGGATGAGACAGAATACGGGGTATATAACCTATTAATGTATTTTTGAGCAGCTGTGTGTATCTGCAGGCTCTTTAACAACTGAATTGGAAGTTGTGAAATGTAGTTGGAGGCCTTCTATGTTTTTCAGCATGTTATACAGGTATATTTTCAATTTTGCTTTCAGTTTTACTTTAAACCAATTAGAAAATTGGAAATGGTGACATACATGGCTGCAAAGCACATAAAACCAAAATACCACAAGTTGTCTGCTTTTGTGAGATACATGTACACAAGTATTTTATTTTATTTTATTCATTTCCCTTATTCTGTATTTGCTCGTATTCTGCTTGAATGACATGTATGACCATTTTCAGATAAGATTTGATGTGTTTTGTGTTTAGGTCCATCCAGCTGCAGCTGAACATCGGTGTGGAGCAGATCAGAGTGGTGCACAGGGATGGACGTGTCATCACACTGTCACACCAGGAGCAGGAGCTGCAGGACTTCCTTCTCTCACAGGTATCCCAGCAGTCTTCCCACACAGCTGGTGGAGGACGGTGTGTATGGCACCAGACCTGTTGTGTATTGATCTCAATAAAGAACACGTGTCTTACAAATGATCTGGTTGTCCACTGTTGTCCAGTACAAGATAAAGGCATTTTTCTTTATGCAGTGTCATTTTTTAAAGTCATGTGGGTCCCTGCCTGTGTCCATGTTTGTTATTGCAGATGTCGCAGCATCAGGTGCATGCAGTTCAGCAGCTGGCCAAAGTGATGGGCTGGCACGTCCTGAGCTTCAGTAACCATGTAGGCCTGGGCCCGGTCGAGAGCATTGGAAACGCCTCCGCTGTCACTGTCGCCTCTCCCAACGGAGAGTACGCCATCTCAGGTGAGACGGGTGTGGTTGGTTCTGAGGTGAAAGTGCTCAGTAAACACTTCTCTGTTTTTATACTATTGTGTTTAAGTGCTGCTACAGTTGTGCCATTGTAAGTTTATAAATAAAGCCTGATCATACATATCGTAAAGATCCAAATAGGAAGTTTTCTGTCTTAAGAAAATCTTTGGGAAGATCAATTATTAAATTTGTTCAAATCAGCCATTTGAGAAGCTTTATTGTTGCCATTGTGGTGTATTTTTCATAGGCCACTTCATGCATGATATCTAGTGCAACTAGCTCATTAGGTTTTTGTCTCAGTATCTCAGATTCAAACAAGGGCTTCCTCCAAGACTCAGCCATAGAGGGAGAGAGTCAAAAAGAATTGCAACCTACAACTTTTGCTACCAACATTCAACCTAAGCGACCAGAATGCAATGCAGCAGTGATAAGACCTGTTCCATTTTGAATTATTGGGCTAATGCTGTCAATCTTTGTGCTAACATGTGTAGAGCTGAGTAAAACTAGGCCACACCCTGTCTCTGATGGTTGTGAAAACTTTGGGAGAAGTAGAAAACAGCTCAAAATCAAAGGGACAGGTTGCTACAAGCTGAGGGATCTTTAGGAAAGCAAATCACAGCACAGCACTGCAAAATAACTGACGCCACTGAAATACAACATATCAGCATAATAGATTAATGTTGGCAATTTGATCTCTAACCTTAAATTGCCAAAAATGAAGTGTGGCTGTATTTGGGTCACTAATAGATTTAACATGTGTATCTTTTTTGTCTATTAAGTGCGTAACGGCCCAGAGAGCGGGTGTAAAGTTTTGGTCCAGTTCCCCCGCAGCCTGACCAAAGAGCTGCCGAAGAGTGATGTCATCCAGGACACCAAGTGGAGTCACCTCAGAGGGCCCAACAAAGAGGTCCACTGGAGCAAGATGGAGGGAAGAAACTTTGTGTACAAGATGGAGCTCCTCATGGCTGCACTGACTCCCTGCCCTTAGACAAAGCCTCTGTGTGCAGACTCCTTCGAGAGGGAGCTCCCACATCGAGTCAGCCTCAAAATTTAAGAAAGTAGATACACATAGGTTTTGCAGACGTGTTACATGCACTCTTTTTAATGATGAGACTTTTCCTTCCTATACACTTATTCATCTCATGGACTTGTTAAACACTGCCCTTCCACCTCCAGCAGTGTCTACTACCTGCTCTGTTTTTGATCGCGTAAGGCATGGAGTGTTTGTAGAGTATACATCAAACAATTTGATACAAAATGAAAAGTCTACCAGTACGTATCAGTGTTGTTTTGTTATATCATCATAAGAATAAAGCTATAACACTTCAATGTATTTTTACTGAGAGGAACGCGTTTCTGTTGCTTCATCCCCTTCACTCTATCACTTGTCTGATTTGAGCATTTTGCAAAAACTTTCTTCTTAGTCTGATTGGTTTTAAGAATGAACCATGTGCTACATGTTAGTTCAACCAAGTTGAACAAGTTGAAAGTGTAATAGTCATATACAGTATATTACACACTTTTTAAAAAAGTAGTCTATTATCACTTCATCTGAAGTCTGATACAGACTACCTGTAATTCAGTGTTTTTCCAAAGCAAGGTTTGGATGATCGTTGTGAAGAAGTAAAAGAAAATCACACAATTCATTTGCTTAGACAATAAATACAGCATGTATTTTTTCCAGTGGCATGATTGAGCTATTTACATATAATCCAGTGTCGTCAATAGTGAACAGTAACTGCACATGTATTCAATGCAAAACGTAAACATGATACACTTTCTCATAATTGATATGCGATCTTCCCATCCATCCATTATCTATACCACTTATGCTTATAGGGTCACAGGGTAGCTGGAGCCAATCCCAGCTGTCACTGGGCAAGGGGCGGGCTACACCCTGGACAGCTCGCCAGTCTGTCACAGGGCTGACACACAGAGACAAACAACCACTCACATTCACATCTATGGGCACTTTTAGAGTCGACAATTAACCTAACGTGCAAGTGTTTGGACTGTGGAAGGAAGCCGGAGAACCCGGAGAGAACCCATGCAGAAGGGCCCCAGCCGGCCGTTAGGTTTGAACCCAGAACCCTTTTGCTTATCATCTTCCTGTCAGGCAAGAAAACAATTCATTTATTTTACATAACGCCTACATTATAAAAAAAAAAAAAAAACAGTCCTTGTGCTGCAGAACTGACAGGATGATGAATAGTCTCTGGTGTGTTTTCAGCCAGATGTCCATCACAGAGGCTGCAGCTCTGTTGCATCATTCTCTGCATAAAGGAGGAATTAAACTTTGTCAACACAGAAACTAACATGAATACGGCATGCAGCTGTAACAATGCTACAATAGAACTTTGCAGACCTTTGTACTCAAAACACACCCATACTTACACACAGCACATAACTTAAGCCCACATTCACACCCACTAAACCATATGCATACATTTTAACACAAAATGGACTGAGTAAACTATGGACTGCAGTGCAAACAAACCTCTTGTATTTATAAGCTCATATTAAATGTATTTTATTATGATCCTGCATAAAATATCTTTGTTTAAAATGATGTATCCTTTATCCAGAAAAGCAGCTACTGTAAAAACTCCCATTCAGTAGGGAACTGTAGTTTATGTTTTGATAATTTACTCCTGAGTGCAAAGTTCATCATGAAGGTGTTTCACACAAACTGATAAAGTTATTCATAAAGTTGCATGTACTTTAGATATTCATTTACCTGGCATCTGTGTCCTGCGTCTCCAGGCCGCTATCTTCCTGTAGGCCTTGTCTAGTAGCCAGACGGCAAGCATGAGGATGACTGCCAAGAAGGCCAGTGCCAAGGCAGAGACAGACAGGTACTGAAGATCCTCATACAGCACCTCTGGAGGACAGAGTCACAGGAGCCAAATCATATTTACTTCAAAGAAACAGAAACACTTTGGGCACAGACGACTTTCCAAAGATGAAAGCACAAAACAAACATGTTAATAATAATACAGCTTGTGTGCAGACATGAGGTAACACTGCAGCAGGAAGACGATTATTATGATCCTGTGTTAAGAAGGGTTAGAATTAATACATTCTCATGTCACGTTCAGTCTTAAAGAATATGTTAACAGAATATGGAACTATTTTCACGTCATCCTTTTTCACACTAAAATCTTGAAGTTTATCAAAGATACACAGATAAATGCTCATGTTGTTTACTGATAAATAAAGATAAACTACAAGTCCCTGCTTTCAGATCTGAAAGGCACATATGTTCAAAATGTGGTTGCAGACTCCACAGATACTGGTGGTTTTTTTATTTTGCCTTTATTTATTCAAGGAAGTTTCACTGAGAGTCAAGCTCTCTTTTACTGGAACACCTTGACCTCATTTATAGTTACACACACTCGCATCTGGAAGCTGCCCAGTACAACCACAGTCTGGCCTGCTGCCCACCTGGTGCAGTTGGGGGCTTAAGTGCCTTGATCATGTGGGGGTAATGAGTGAGAGGGAAATGTGCTGCTTTTTCACTTTCCTGGACAGATTGATCCTGCCAGTCCAGGGGATCAAACCAGGGACCTTCTGGTCACAAGTCTGCTTTTAATATCAACTGTCACATTTGGAAAACTTGGGCAAACTTGGTAATTTTCACACCCCAACAACAAACTACTGTTGAGCAAGGCACACTGTGTGCTGTTATTTAGTGTTTGTATGAGAGCCATCACTGCTAACAATATTATTCCTAGGTAAAAAAATATTGTACAAGTCACCAGCTTTATTTATTTGTAGCTTCTGTTAAGAAACTGTTTGGCACGTTCCTGCTGTGTTTATTCTAGTCTGGTCTGCTGTTGCTTGAATTAGGCAGCAGGTTTAAGAGTCTGAAAGCAAGCACTGCTTTTTTCCATAAACATGTGACTCCAGGCTGTTAAGAATAAAAGACACATAACTGTAACACTCTCATCTATTTGTTTTAGGATTAACCTACACAGAAGTCCAGATCCAACTCACCGTTCACTTTCAGGACAAACCCGGTGTCCTTGCTGCTTCCGGCTGTTTCTGTAACAGTGACCACATAGAATCCGGCATCCTGCAGCCGCAGGTCTGACAGGCCAATAGAGCCATTGTTGTAAGGCTGCACTCTGCTGCTGTAATCCACTGTTATGTTAGTGTACACGCCAGGCTGCCAAGTCCCTATGGTGCGGCTCACCACTCCTGACATAAAGGTCCATTGTATGGTGGGGATCCCATTGCAGGTAACATCCACTGAGAAAAACACATCGTCCTGCACTGACCTGGTGAGGCTCCTCTGGGGAGAATGGATAGAGATGGCTCCGGCTTGCAAAGTGAAAAGGATGAGAAGATGTAAAGATATAGATTATAGATGCACTGCAAGATGCATTTCAATACGATAGATAAATACTTACAGAGGTATGGAGACAGAGCTTGTACATGTAGATGTAAATAGATAAGAATACAGTATTAAAAAGGAAGCAGTGGGCAATATTACTGTAAGTAGATAGATACTGCACACTGCATAATAAACACCTTTACCTTTCACACTTTTAGCTAATGTTCAACCTTCATCCAGGTTTGATGATAATAACAGCTGAGACATGTCAGTGAATGACACAATACAGCTCTAAAAAAAGGAAATATTTCACCAGGGCACAGCGAGTTACTGCTGCTGCCAAACTCTGTGACTCATTTGCACTGAATTCCATGTGCACTCAGAAATGTGCCATTATGTTACAAATTACAAGCTGCTAGCTCGAGGAATGAAACTTGTCAAACAAGCTGAGAAGTATCAATTTGAATGTAGCCGGTAGTATTAGGCTCGTCTGTCCTGGCTGCCCCCTCATCAAATATTTTCTCAGGAGTTTCAGTGGGGGATCTGGTTCTGCTGGTGCTGTGTTTGCTTAATGAAACACAGGTAAAGAATTCCACCTTAGAATACCAGCGCTGACTAAGAACCAAGGTGGTGTGGGAAAAAGTGCCTGTCCTTTTACGCAGACTTCACAGTTGAAATGATGACTAAGCAACAAACCTCACATAGGTTTCTGTGTGAAATATCTATTAAATAAATGCCAATCATAACTCTGATGTTTCCTTACTGCTCTCTCCCTATTCCTTTTTAGTTTCTTGGTGATTCAAATTCTCTCAAGTGTACTGGGAATTTGAATGTGCTCCAGGACAGTGTGTTGGTTGCACAGCAATGTGTACAGGACTGTGTTGATGTTCTTATCGTCTCCAAGTTAAGAAGCAGAACCTGATGAAGTGTTGCTTCACTCCCACCATGTTCTCAGTTCTCAGTTTGACCCTATGTATTTGATCTTGAACAAATGTAGGATAGGAAAGGCGTGCTCTCAAAAACAATAAGCAAATAGGTCAGCTCTCTGGAGACGGACCACATTATAAAGATGTGTTTGAAATGCTTACCTAAGTCACAAATATATAATGTGATGCTGAGAAACACAGCAACATCTTGTACATCCCAGAGCCTGAAATGCCACATTAGAATCCCAGACCCATGGGTCAAACCACAGTAGAAGAATCTCCTCCAGGTTATTTCACATTCTGACGCATTCTCCCCTCTGTCGCTCTCCCTCCAGCCTTTTCTCCTTCCAAAGGTTTCCTCTTCCACTCTCCTTTTCACAGGTGTTGGTGTGTATGAGTTCCTCCCCCTCTGTGAAATCAGAGTGCCCGACACAGAGGTGCTGGAGCTCCCCTCCTCTCTCAGGACCGAAGCTCAGGATTGTGCTGGATTTCTCTTCATACCTGCGCAAGTCAGTGCCAGCCAGCCCACACCTATCAGACAGGTTCAGCCAGAGATTACTGAGCAAACATACACTACGCATTACGTGATAATACACACACACACACACACACACACACACACACACACACAGTTGAAGGAAGAAAACTATAGAGTTAACACACAAATATCCCTCTCACTTTACTCACTGCCCTCCACCCAACAAGTGCTTACCTTTCTATACGCAGACACACTATTGCAAAATGAAACCAGGATAGGTTGAATCAGTCGGTATTCATGTTGTGACACACCTGGTAAAACGTGTCAAACAGGAAGTGTGTATTCACATGCATGCGCTGAGAAATACAAACACACAGTAAACAGTGAACTGACATTTCCCTTTAGAAGGCATGTAAAAACTTTCTCGTTCTGTGCCTGTGTGTTGTGATTGGACTAACCCTAATACAGTCATTTCTGATTCATTTTTTAAAACATTTTAATCTCTCTTCATTGACATCTTGCTTAGGGTCAGAGAAAATGAATTTGAGAGGCTTATCTCAGTGTCTTGGT